TAATATATATTTTGCTTAGTTTAATTTTTGGGTCATTTTCCAATCAGGGTCAGGTTCAAGTTCATTGATCAAACAATTCAGATTCAGGTCAATTTTGAGTTTGGTTGATTCGGCTTTGAGTTGGTTCAGGTTTGGTTTCTTGAATTTTGGAGTCAATTCTGGTCGGTATAAATTCAAGTTTGGGTTTGGATTTGAGTTAGCTTTGTCAGCTCTAGATAAGAGGTTGTTAATCCTCAATTTCATGATGCTATTTTATCCCTATGGTATATTTCTTTAAAAATTGTATTTAACATACAATAATGTGAGGAATAATTTTGGCCAATAACCAAAAAATAATCCTATCCAACTCTTGGTAATCTTGCATATAGAAATCATGGTATAGGATAGAAAAAATGATCCTATCCCATTCTTTTCTTTGCAACAAAATATATATGATAGAATGATATCCTCTAATGCCATCTATGTCAATATCGCATCTTATTTTATACTTGCATCATTTTATCCACCAAATGCATACATAATGTACATATTGCAGCATCCAGAATAAGCTCAGTATATAATGCAGCACCAAATTAAATATGAAACTTACAGTGAACCACCGGCAGCTGGACCAACTGCTTTGAATAGGGACATAGCAGACATTGAAATTCCATTTGCAGTCCCTCTTTGCTCTTGCTTCTGATATCAGGGTTAAGCAAAGCTTTTAACTCGATACTTTTACTTACATTATATAAATAACTTAAAACTACAGAAATCTTATATACATCAGCATACACATGTATGAAAGAAGAAAGCAGTATTACCACAGCTCTGTTTTGTAGAAGGAACAAGCCTGTAGTGATTGATACCTGATTACATTTTAGAAATTGATACGTCAAATGTATAAGGGAAACCACAGGCAAGTATGCACATTCCTTTTTTTCTCTTTTATCCATCTTTGAAAACTAACCAGCAACTATTAATATTTTACACAATTTAAAGAAAAGGTCTATACGAAAGTAGTGAAGATAGACACAAGTATTTCCTTTGTTCCATCTTAGGAGTTTATGAACTTACAAGTCTGTGTCTATATCTAAAATTGTCAGCTCCTATTTGCACAAAGATGTTTGTAGTATTAGAAAAAAGTATACAAAGAGAAGCTCAGATCAAATATACATAATAGTCACAATCAAGGTTTTTCTTTATCTCAAATCTAATTTTATACTGCATCTGTGATGCTAAGAATGAGGATGTTTTTGCTGACACAATCTAAAATCATCTAATTAAGATTTTTGACATTAGAACCAAACAAAAAGGCAAGCAAACCAACTAACACGCTAACTGGGAGACTGTGCCTCTCTGTCTGTCTGCATTATAAAAATATACTCATCAGACCTAAATATTATTTGCCCAACATTCATTATTGTAAAGACCCAAAACTTCAATAATCTAAATCCAATTGATTGCTTCAAATATAATAGAGAATAGAGATCATAGGGATAATACATAAAAGTCTAGGGCTAAAGCTGTATTATGACAAAAATAGCAGGAGGCATCAGAAGAGTTGCTTAAGGATTGGTCAAGAAATAGTCTCCAAGTATTGTCAAGCATGTCTTTAGCTAGTCCAAATCCCATTCTGTCAACTAGAAATAGTAAATATTAACTAATTTCAGTTCTGATAAATAAAAATGCATTTAAAATTGGCATAATATAATACCTAACAAGATGTAAACAGAGTGATAGCTTAGTTCACAACGATTTAATACAAAAAGATGAAAAAAAAAACTTGGGAGCATATCAGGAACAAGAAGGCCAGAATGAAAAGGCATAAACTGTTTTGTTTCCCTCTTTACATTCCTACGCACTCAATGATTGCTTTGTCATGAATTCTCAATAGACTGCCTACAAAATACCACTTGTTTTCTCTGCAACCTTCAGAATGAAAGCAAAGAGGCAAAGACCATTTGTTAGTTCTTGTTCTTTCTACAAAGAATTCTGGTATGAAGTTCTTCCAACAAATGAACGATGAGTGACCGGGATTTTGGGTTTTTTTTTTTTTTTTGGCCAATGGGATTTTGAATTCAATTATTGGGATTTCTCCATTGAGTAGGGTCATTTCGGGGGAAGTTGATCATTTATGATGAAAAAGATGAGCTTCAAGAGAATGATTCGGAGTTCTTGCAGAGTGGAACCATGCAGTACCAGGCACGATATAGATCTTCCAATGAACAAGACTTTTTTCAAATAAGCCAATTCATTTGGGACCCTGCGGATCCACTCTTTTTCCTATTCAAAGATCAACCCTTTGTCTCTGTACTTTCACACTGAGAATTTTTTGTAGATGAAGAGACATCAAATGGGCTTCTTACTTCCCAAACAGATCCTCCTACATCTATAAATAAATGTTGGTTTATCAAGAATACGCAATAAAAGCACTTCAAATTGTTGATTCATTGCCAAAGATGGCTTACAACCAATAGTTCTTTATCTAATGGATTTTTCCGTTCTAATAGTCCATTCAAGAGTTATCAGTATTTATCAAATCTATTTCTATCTAATGGAAGGCTGTTGGATCATATGACAAAGACATAGTCGGGAAGAGGATGGCTTTTCCCGGATGAAATGAAAATTGTATTCATGTAAGAGGAGAAAGGTTTCCCATTACTTAGCCGGAAAGATATGTGGCCATGAAATAGGGGATTAAGTGGAACGGAATTGACTGGGTGGTAGAGTTGTGGAAACACATGTTTCTTCCATATTTTGGACCTTAGCTCCATGGAACAATATGCTACTGCTGAAACATGGAAGAATTGAAATCTTAGATCAAAACACTATGTATGGATGGTATGAACTGCCGAAACAAGAATTCTTGAACAGCGAACAACCAGAGCTATTACTCACTACATCAAAAAATTTCCATTAATGAAAGATGTAAATCCATTGGAAAATAACAAAATACGCAAGTCAGACGAAATGGTTGTTGCTATTTGCTCCCATAACGAATCATTGGTTTAACTGAATAACTAAATAAAATAGATAGACCTTTCTCTTCATCTCAAGTCAATGGATCTTCTCAACTGGAGGATCCCCTATATGGATAATACACATTCCAGTTGACCGAGCCTAATTCTAATTGTTTTGTTCCGAAGCAAAGATATCAGCCCAATCACATTTATAGAGGAAGACCTTCACAGTTCAGGTGCTTAAATTTGCTTAGTCTGTCTATTATATAAATGATCTGGAGAGAAACAATGGTAAGAAGCATGGTAAAACTCCTAATTCTGTCAATAATCTAGACTATTGACTTGCTTCTATGATCATATCAAGATGCAGCAGCTACTTCCAGCTAGCAGCCACTTCAGCTAATATTGAATTATATAAGCAAAGGATTCAAGTTTGATTTTCTTTCCTGTGGTCTAGTATTAGAAAGCTGTATATTATCGGTGGTTTTTTACCTCTGCAACTGAATATTTGCTTTGTATGAACAGTAGAAGTATTTCCCTGCTCGGTTAAATAAAATTTTATATCATCACAAAAAAGTGCATTTAAAACACTTAACTGGAGCATGCACTTACAGAGAGCACATTCTTCAGCACAGATGCAGAGTCAATCAAGAGCATGAGGCTCAAGCCTTTTAGCATAGCTATAAAAGGGTAAGTGAACAGCAATGGTATGCTCAATACCTACAAAGGAACAGGTCAAATATCACATAAAATAATTTACGAAAGAAGGAAATGACATATAAATATCACAAAAAAAAAAAATTTTGAGCATGAAGGAAATACCGCTCCAATGCGAGATACCATTACTGGGCCCAAATTCCTCTCGATGAGTGGGTATAAAAATAGTTGGAAGAGCAGCAGACCACAGCCTGGCAGTTATAAGACTAAAATGAAAATAGAAATGAAAAAAGAAAAAAGTTATTGATGCAATGCTAAGAAACATATTGGATACCTTTTTGTGTATTAACGTATATGAGAGATATGCATTTTACTAATAGGAAATTTCATGCTGTAAAACAGATGCTTTTTTACCATCTTTGCAGTAAAGTTATCATCATTTAATGTTTATCCAGAAGTTCCTCAGAGCTTGTTTTAAGATTTTTATATGCCAATGCCAAGGCTATTTCCTGAATATAAATTTTCGGTATGGGAACCACCACCAGTACCCTTAATTCTGGACATAATGATTTCAAAAAGCAAGAAAAGCTCAAAAAAGTATCCCACCAAGGATAGTACAGTGAGGTAGTTCCTGCTATAAGAATATAGGAAGAAGTAAAATTCGTTTAAGAAAAATTCAGCAGAAATAGCGATCATGATTATTTACATAAGTTCCCTGAGCAATTTCATTTTTAGAGTGTCAAGGTGAAAGCCCATGAACCTTATGGTGCAAATTCAATGTACTTCTCTGGCCATTAATGCAATGGTGGCTTATGCAAATCCTAGTGTGTTTTCAGAAAACTTTTATCTGCCGAAACTAAAACTAACCCCCAATATCTAAACATCTTATCCTCATGCCAAGGGAGACCAAAACATTAAGCAAAGAAGATGGTTAAGACCTGAAAGTTAATATTCAAAGAGAAAGTGGATCTGATAGACAATATTGACCTTCTTAATTGCTACATAAAGATAAGAGATTGAAGATTTCATTTGAATAATATTTATATGAATTGCTGTTAACATGCAAATGGTAGTCCTACAAACCTGAAATTGCAAGTACTTCACCAACATCTGTAGTTGAATAGCTCAATCCTCCATTCTTCCTAGGACTGACTGCCCACAGTGAGAAAATCTGCAAAAGGATAGCCAAGAGTAAAAAGTTGAAACCAAGACATGTAAATTAGCTACTATGGTGCATGATTCAGGTGTAAAAGAAAATAATTCCACACTGAAAGTGGTGAATTGCATTTACAAAGCTCTCAGAATTCAGTTTTGCTACAGCAACAAACGTCTCCTCATAATCAATCCCGTAAAACTGCGTGAACCCTTTAGCCACAAAACGAGCTCTGAATCTGTTCTCACTTTTATCTATATTGTGTTTGATAGTAAAAATACACTTACATCCCACAAGGCTTTTTCCTCTAAGAAGATCAGTAATTTTCCATGTGTCATTCTTTTCAAGTGCTTACATTGCTTCCATTACCACAGCCTTCCACTTTGGTTGTGATGGTATTTGGTACATGAACATCAGTTAATGATGTAACCAGTGCCCGATAAGTAAGAAACAACCCTTCATAGGAAACAAAGTTACTAATAGGGTGCTGAGTACATGATTACACACCTTTTCTTATAGTAATGGGCTGATCAAGATCACTAGAAAAATCATCAGAGATAGGTTCAGTAATATTGTTACCTTTATGAATTTCCAAAGTCCTTGGATTTGGTTGAGAATCTTGGTTCTATGTTGGATATGTATAGGTCCCTATCTCCTTTTAAGATTTCGATCTCCTTGAGTATACAATCATTACCTTAGCTTTTGTCTCTTGCACGGTTTCAAGAGATTTTAGAGACTCAAGATGACTAGTAGACTCAGAATAAAAAGAATAATTATTCGAAATGGGAATTTGAATTGGCAAACAAGTAGAAGAAGGATCAGATGATGGCTCAATCTCCCAAAGTTGTTATTCCCTAGAACTTTCCCCCTGAATATCGGCTTTGGGATAGAATGGATGATTCTCAAAGAAGGAGACATCTATAGAAGTGTAAAACTTTCTGGTAGTTGGTGAATAACATTTATAGCTGTTTTAGTTAGGTGAATAGCCAAGAAATATACACTTGAATGATCTAGGGTCTAGTTTACTGTGTCATAGTTGGTGTATATGAACAAAGGTATTACATCCGAACACTTTGATTGGTCTAGAGGAAATGATTTGGAAATGAGGGTAGGTTTTGAGAAGTGTTTGACAAGGGGTTTGGAATTTTAGTACTCAAGATGGCATCCTATTGATAAAGAAGGCTGCTGTCAAAATTGCCTCTCCACATAAATGTTTCAAGAATGGGAGGCTAGCATAATAGATCTTGCAACTTCTATCAAGTGTCTATTCTTTCGCTTGGCAAATCCATTTTGTTGAGGAATTTTAGTACATGAGCTCTAATGAATAATTCCTTGATCTAACAAGATCAAAGAACTGAGTGATAGTATTCTCGCCTATTATCTGTTCTAAACACCTAAATTTTTGCTTAAATTTGAGTTTGCACCATCTTGTTAAAATTTTGAAATATTGAACTAACCTTTGACTTGTCTTTCACGAGGAATAGCCATGTAACCCTCAATGGTCCCAAAACATCACTATGGATCATAGAAAAATGATGAGTTGATTTGTATGGTTGACTTGGATATGAATTGCAAGTGTGTTTGGAAAATTGACAAATTTCACATTGATAAGATTCGAAACCTTTATTGAATAAATCAGGGAATAGTTTTTTGAGGTACAAGAAATTTGGATGTGCTAAACGATAGTGCCATAACATGATTGTATTTTCTTTAATCTTACTAGAAAATGAAACCAAACAAGCACTCTTCCATGATCCTCTCTCATCTCTAAGGAGATAGAGTCCAGCACACATTCTAGCATTGCCAATCTTTTTCCTCGAATCCAAGCCCTGAAATTCACACATGTTAGAAATTTAGTAACATAATTAAGATCTCTTGTAATTTTACTAATAGACGGAAGATTGCAATCTAAATTAGAGACATGAAGAACAGAGTCAAGTGTTATATCCTTTGAAATAATGACTGAACATGTCCCAGCTACTTGGAAGAGTGACCCATCTACTATTCGAACTGTGAGGTTTTCAAAACATTGGTTGTATTCATGGCACACTGATGCATCACCAGCTATGTGGTCTGATGTGCTTGAATCAACAATCCAAGATATTGAATTTCAACTTTGCACAAGTAGAGTATTGAAAGAATTACCTTTTTGTGCAACAGACGCTGTGCTTACAACTAACCTAGTGTTCTGAAGAGATTACTGAACAATTTTCTCAAGAAGTTTCAACTACTTTTTACTGAACGAGCTTGATCCCAAGGGTGTTAGAGTTGTCTTAATGGTGGCAGAATTTCCATGACTCTCTCGATTTCGAGTAGAATGTGGTTTTTAGTCAGCAGGTTTCCCATGGATTTGCCACCAATTTTCTCATGTGTGTCCTGCTTTTTGACAGTGGTCACACCAAGGCCTGTTACCTTTCTTCTGTCGATTATCACCACCTTGGTAAGATTTTGGTCCTCATACAACAAAGGCTGAACTTTTTGTGTCTTGCGGATTGCATGATGTTCTTAGCATCACTTTCCTTCTACTCTCTTCTCGACGGACTCAGAGAAAACTTCTCTGATGCTAGGTAATGGCTTGATGCTAAGAATTCTCCCACAAGCATTATCAAGGCTTTTGTTTAGACCAAGTAGAAACTTATAAACTCGGTCCTTCTTTATTATTTTCCTATATTGTTGGCTATCGTCAGGGCACTTCCGTGCTATTTCTTTAAAGATATCTAATTGCTGCCGATAACAAATTAAGGAATTAAAATATTTCGAGATAAAGGAGTCTCCTTGCTGCAAGTCATGTAGAGTGCTTTTCATCTCAAACATTGCAGATGTATTGTCTAAGTTGGAGCAGGGTTCTTTTGTAGCATCCCAAATCTCCTTGGCAGTTTTGTAGTATATGAAATTCTCACCAAACTCATTGGTTATAGAATTGATGAATCACGACATTACCATGTTATTCTCCAACTTCTAGGTTCGATACTTCAAGTCATTCTCGCGGGGTGAAACAGCTATTCCCATGAGCTAGGATTCAAATAGCGTCATATAGCGGTATAGCGGCTACTATTTCGTGATAGTGCCACCATCCGCCACCGCTATTGAAGGAAAAACGGAGAAGAATTTAAATCTCATTAATAGCGGCATATCACGGCCACAAATTACGGTGTAACATTGACTAGCGGCAATATCAATCCGATATTGCCTGCTACTCCGTTTTTCATTCAAAAATTCAAGAAAAAAAACTTTTATTTGACTCTAGTTAAAAACTTAAAATAAAAGTAGCAAGCCAAAAAATAAACATCAATTCACAAATTCAGGAACAAAAAAACCCACAAAACTTAAACTTCAAAAGATATCAATTCTCTCAAATTCAACTTCAATCAAGATCAAGCACATACAGTTTAAGGTAAGCAATTAATTCAGCACTCAAATTTTTTTTTTTTAAATTTCAAAATTTTGTCATGATTTTATATGTTTGGGATTAGACTGGGCTATGGGGCACTGCTAGGGAGTTGCTGAGACTTAAAATAATAGACAAGAGATGAGAGTGAGACTTGAGATTGAAGGAGATGAGCAAATAGCACACACCAAAAAAAAAGAGAACTAAGAAATGGGGATGAGGATGAAGGTCTGGAGAAAAAATTTATTGAATGCAAAGTGAGAGGATGAAAAATTGTGTGGATCTGTGCAATTTAGCCAAGAGGCAAAGGAAGTAGACTTAAGGCTATTGTTGTTGAAGATTGCCCTTAACAAGGAGGCTGCCAAGTTTGATTTACTGTAGGCCCATAAAAAATAATTCTCTTGACCCATAAATAGTAATGCTCTTGCTTAATTTATGATGTCTAATCACTTGTTAGCTGATTTATTCGCAATATAGTTCGGCAATAATTTGATGAGTACTATAATTAAATAATTAAATATATCATTCGTTATGATTATTTATTTTTTACATGTTTATTTATCTCTTGTTATTTTCTAATTATCATGAGTTATTTTTTAAATATGAATATTTTACTATAAATATTTTTTCTTAAATAAATAAAACACATGACAAGACATAAATTACTTTAAAAATCATAAGATAAGAGTTTTTATGATTAATAATTAAAATTATTATGTTTTATAGCCAGTTGAGCAAAATTAAAAAAATTCACGAGCACGATAGCTACAATGACCATGAAGGTCTCCATTATATCTGCAATCATGACAAACGCGACACAACCGAAAATGTGATCGATATCGCAATTTAAATCCCTGCCCATGAGATAATCTTCCTTACCTTTTCCATAGACAACTGACTGAGACCACTAGATAAAGTTTTGTCCATGGAGTTTGGGGCCAATTATAGGCAAATTAGGGGGCTCAGACATACCTGTACTGCTAGCCATGGCATAGATAGAAAGAAAAAAATATAAAAGTTTTGATGGTCCAAGATGAACACTCTGATACCATGAAGAAATTTATGAGAATGTTATTTATGAATTCTTAAGAAATTTTCTAAAGTATGAGAGTATATATATAGCTAAAGCATCAAATCTGGCAAATCCCATGATATCCTAAAGATAATAACAAATCACCTAAAAATCATCTAACAATAAATGGAAACTACCAAGTGGGAATTTGATCAATGAACCAAATCCCTTTTATTTAGAAAACAACCAGAATACTAAATGAATGATACCTAATCAAATTTGGTTAGGAATCAGTTTTCCATAGTTACATATTCAATCTTTACTCTCGTCACACAAAGGTCACAATAGTGAAGATTTACAGCTCAAATAGACCTTTAAGTAAATAAAGCTGAAATAAATAAAAAGAATTAGCAAGTATGAATGTGTAGGAAATTTAGGCACAAAATTTTAAATTGTTTCAATATTAAAAAATCCTTAAATGAAATTACCTCAGCATAGGCCATATCGTGGAGTTGGAAAACACAATATATGATAATTGATGACATTAAAGGCCAGTTTTTCAAAAGGTTCTGTTGAGAGGTTCGATGTCTTCCTTCAATCAGTACCTTTTCATTTGCATTGGGCTCACATGTGGAGGTCACTAATTCATCATTTACCTCATCACTTTCTTTATCATATCTCTTATGGATGTGCAATGTCTCCTGCGACAAAGTCAAACTCCATATTAATTTGTCTATGCCTTTTCTATGTAGAATATAGGCTAAAAAAGATAATAAAGGAAGCAGCATAAGACGAAATTTCAAAATCCATACTATACAAGAAAAAATAAAAGAATCATTAATTCTTTGCCACTCTTCTATTCTCTATGACAATTATCAACTCTAGTACTCAAATGTGTTCCATAAATTCCACCCTCAATTGACTGCAAAGTATTACACTATTGCTATGAATATAAAAGACATCATCAAAATGGTTTTATTTTACTAGGTTTAGGTTTGGAGTTTCTTGTGGCCTTATATTTACATTGGTTATTTTTATACATTGCCAATTGAGAAATAGATAATCAAAATGATATCAAAACCAATTTTGAAGGCCACATGATGGGCCCATTCATTTTGGTTGTTTAGTGCTCATGCAAGGGGAGTTTTTAATTGATGTAATCCCCACATTGATTAGGCATTTATGTTCAGAAACAAGTTTGTTTATTGTTCATTTGTAGGTTTGTTTATAGGTTAATTAGAAAAAAAAAATTATCTTTTACATAATTTCTTATAATTCTTTTATTTTATTAGTAATTTTTTAACTTCATGCCTTCAAATGAGAACGTTTCTTTACTGTTCTAAAGAGCAATTTAGCCCAACGGTTCTTTACAAGGCTTGACAAAAGACAGAAAAAGGAAAAACCTCTAAGTCAAATGAGCTCTCTAGTCTCTACCACCAAGTAACCACTCACATCTCCAAATGGCCACCCCTCTATTTGCCCCTTTCATCTCTTCTTGAATCTCGACTATTATCTTTTGGGATTATCCCTTCTCTTTAAGGTTTTGCTTGGTAGAAAGGATGGAATAAGCTACAAGGTAGGAAAATGGTTATGAATCTTAACCATTGGATTAACAAGTTTTCCATACTTACCCCTTTCCATCCTTCCTACCAAGCAAAGCCTAACACTTTTATCTTTCATCTCCTTAATTTACCCCCAACTTCTCAATACTAATCAATCATCTTGTGGGCACAAATAACTTAATCAGCTACCACCATAATTAGCAGTCTCTATATTTTAGTACTCTTCTTTCTATCTTCATTTTTGTCAATTTGGGTCTTAGTGGGATTTTGTTGATTAGTTGTTCACAAACTTGCTAGTTAATTATTGAGAATAAGTCCTTTAATGTTCACAAACAAGTTCATTTATGCTAGTTGTTTTGAGCTTGATCCAATCTCGAATTTAGCCAAATTTTAATTGAGCCAAGCTTGAACAACTCCATATTTAAATGAGGCGAGCCCAAAGGGAGACAAGCTTGGCGAGACTTGGATCATTTACAGCCGTATACATATAGCACTATAGGACATCAAATTCATTACGTTAGTCCAAATTCTCTATATGGGCTTTTATTATCTTTCTAATAGTTCAATTAGAAAGAATTGATGTACGATAATATTACAAGAACCAAAATATAATATAAGCAATCAGTACAGAAAATAGTATCAAAACTACTTGAAAGCAATATATATACATAATATGAAAGAAAGTTAAAAGTTTGCTAAGGTAACATACTGGAAGGGAACACGAAATCAAAAGGACACCAAGTGCGAAAAGTGATATCAAAAAGCATGGTAAGAAGTAAGGAAACCTGTGATATAATTGCAATTCAGAATTTTAGCATTTACTATGAATCAGAAAATATTGCGATACTGGAAAACAAAAACCATGTAAGAAGATTATAAACAAGAAAGGTATCACTTACCTCCCAAAAAGGGATTCCTTGGCAAATATATGTGGAAATTTCTCCGCAGGCTTCCATATATAAAGTATAAATTGATCAATAAGTTGGAATAAAGAAAACAAAGACAAATCTTCAAAGTTCATAATTGTTAAACACTAGGATCCCAGTCTCAATATCTTTTTGTTGAGTGCTGTAATTCCACATTAGTTTAGTTTTGGGTGTGGTTTTATATTCAAGTTAAGCCTCTTCACCTATTATCAATTGGTTTATGGTTGAATGCTTAACACTTTCTATATAATATATTTGCGCTCAAAGTGGCATGTTCTCCATAAAACCAAATCATTCTCATAAATTACTCCAAATTAATTTACCTCATCACCTAAAATAGTATCTTGTTAATGTCAAACAGGCATTCTCAATGGAAAGCATTAGAAATATCTTGTCTTCAATTGTGCAGCACCAGACAAACATCAAGGAAAAAAAAAAATAAGGATAGAGCCAGAGATAGATGTTTTGATTCATTTTGTCTCAATCACAAAAAATTTTGCACCTTTTTTTTTTGGTCAAAAAAAATTTACAACAGTTATTAACATGAAGTTTCAGAGACTGGTAAAGAGAAATGCCCAGGACTTTCACTAACGCTACTTAGTCTTTGAATAAACTTCATTATTTGAATTGGGAAAAATCTCCAATGTATCTAGATAAAGCACCAAATGTGCAACTTACTTTCACAAAATTTAGTTCACTTTTTCTGAATAACTTACTCGATATCTATCATGTTTTTTATCTTATTGTTGCACATGTGCTTATTTATTACTCCCCTACTTCAAAACCAATAAAAAGGCACCATTCTTTGCTTATGATAGAACTCATCTATTGGATAATAAGAGAAAAATACCTGTGCAAGAAAACCTCCAAGAGCTGGACCGATGACTAAGCCAATACCCCATGATGTGCTAATCTAAACAGTATATTCTTAACATCATATGTATATTTTAAGAATTCAATGCAATCAAGACAAGGAGAAACCCCTTACAACAGACATTCCTAACGCTTGATATTCCTTATGGCAAACTTCAGAAGCATATGCCTGAACACAATAATCAACTTCATGTTAACACAAATAATCCCAAATTATAGAATTGTAGGAGAACAATACGTCATAGACAATAAAGATTTTTTCTTTTGATACATAAGGAGGCCTATTAGGTGGGCTACTAAAGGAAGCTAGCCCTCAGCTATCATAAATCCCATTGCCTCCCCTTTCCCTGCCACCCCTAATTCCCAAGATTTGAACCAAAGACCTCCAGGGTGAAGTCTCAAGCTCTAACTATTGGGGTATCTCCTTAGGACATGGAAAATAAAGATTAACCATATGCCACTTAAACTAACCACATAGCATACAAAATAAAAGGGATAATGAAAAGGCACACAAAAAGCTTCTCATTATTGAATCATCTTGAGACATTTCGACCAAGGAAACATAATCATCTTAGGTCATCCATAAACACTTTTATCTCTATTAGCTTTGTGAGCAGCAATTGGCAAGGGGTTTGTAAAGTCAACATGTCAAATTGCATTATGGGATCAAATTTATAATAAGTTGTCATGGGCCCATCATAGAAGAGGCATGACAACTTCTCACTCGATACAACTCTCATCATTTATGTTATTTTTAAGTCATATACTTCATTTTGAGAATATTGTTTTGCCTGCATTTGAATGACACGTTTTAGACACATTGGTATTCTAGAATACCAACAATTAAACTTCACTTAGAAAAAAAGACATCAAGGATTTCAAGTGTAACCATGTCCTTCTTCACTTTCAACCATCCAAGATCAAGTTTTGTCATGACAAACATCTTGTAACAATAGTACAAGAAAAAGATCCCTCATATAAATTTAGCCCAATGACATTAAAAGCAATGTCAATAAGTACTTTGGAATGATGCAGCCATAGATTCTATTAAAGCCAACCCCCAAGCAAACTATCATGTGGTGAAATGTGATTATTCTCCTTTAATTCTTTTATAGGCCACTAAGAAATAGAATTGTCATTTTCTTTTGTTATTCATACTAGTAACATTACCCTAGAAAGTAAATCAGGCCACAAAAGGGAAAAGGAAGATGGAAGGAAATTGTCAATAGGAAAAAAATAAATAAATAAAATTTTCTTTTCAAAAAAGTATATATATATATTTTTTTGCCAAGTGGAAATTTTTTCCACATCATCCCACTAGTTGTCAAAAAATTTCCAGATGGGTGACATGATTAACCACAGTTAAGGTCTCCATCCAAAATAGCACTTAATTAATGAAAAAAAAAAAAGAAAAAACTTTGTAAGGGCTCAATTAGAGGTGTCAAAAACCTTGCCCATGGCCCAGTCACCAGGTAAGCCTGATGCAATTCAAAAAATATTAAAAATTTGTTTTAGTATTCATATTTTGATATTTTAAATATATTTTAGAATTAAAATTAAATAAAAAGTTTTATTAATTAAATAATATCCCAAACAAGGCCAGGCCTAGGCTTGAAAATTCCTGTCCAAGGCTTGGCTTGAGCCACGCCAGGCTACAGTCCTGGCAAACTAACAGGTTCATGGACAAATTTAGGTTCAATTAAGAAAACATAATATTATAAGGGCTTAATTAGACCCAATAAATGTACAAGGGCTCATTTAGATTTTTCATAATAGTGTAAGGGCTTTTTCCATATTTTAGCCAAAACAAATCTATCAAATATCTACTTGTTAATTATCCCAAAACAAATGTCTACTTGTGCGTGTATAAGCTCCTTTTACACTTTAAACCATAAAAATACAAAACAAACTTAGGATTCCTTACCTTTTACTATGGTCTCACACACTCTCAATACTATGATCAAAGACAAACATATAGATTTCTTCTATTCTCTTTCCTATCCCTCTATATCTTTTATCTTTTGTCTTTTGTGCTACTCTTTCTCTCTTTAAACTGTACCCTTACTAGACAAACAACAAAACTTTTTAATCATGTTCAAGCTTTTTAAATTAACAATCTCACCAAAGCACAAAAGCATCATTCTCCTTGACAAACATCCCCAAGAACCAACTAATATTCCTGTCACTTCCATAATTACAAGACAACAAATTTCCATAATCGAAAAATTCAACAAGAAAATGAACTTGCCAATTAACTATTTTAAGATCTCAATGAAAGACGTACCCTCATTGGGCCAAGAATGCCACACAAACTTCCAAGAAGAAAGCGTGCAGAAATAGCAACCCAAAAATTCGTACTAAGGCCAAAAAGAGTGTTGAAAGTAACCCTGAGATAATCATCAAGACATGTGAGAGATAAAAAAAATAGATATGTAAAATTCTACTTTAAAGTAGCAAGAAACCAGGCAAGAAAAAGAACAGCTGAGCATAATGCAAATGAAAATATAAAAAGAATTGCACTAACACTGAAAATGTGCCAAACACAATTACAGGCTTTCGACCATATCGATCAGCTATCATTCCCCAAAGAATAGAAGTCAAAGCTCTTCCAAACATAAAGGCAGATCCTTCAAGGAATGAATGATGCATAAGGATTAATGACAGTTTTTTAAACTAGACATCTAATAAATATGGATGATAAACATAGAAGAAATACTTACCTACATAACCAGCATAATAACCAATATCTTCCTCCTTGTTAGCAATATGGAAGTCCCTTATCTGTAGAAATTAAAATTCCAAAGCCCAAATAAATAAAAGGAGAAAACAAAAGCAACTGTGTCTGCTCCCAAACCCATGTTGAATACTCATTTATATAAGCAAAGGACACGTGGAGGTAGGGATCACTGTCAATGACATTCAAATAGGAAAGTGAACCTTGGAGCAAAATTTTATCCCCAACTTTAGCATTGTTCTATGCATTAAGAGAGCAGGTCCATACTATTATACTGAGAAAGGATGCTATGGGATAGCACTGAATCAGTTGGAACCAACATTTTTCGTCTTGTACCATTCCAAGTTGAAAAGTTGCACTAACTACATTTCTAATGAGGTTGAACGACCACTTCCCTTTTCATTAAAATATCTTGAGAATTACAGGATTCCACACCCTACTCCATTTTGGAGTACCTCTGAATTCCGATTGTTGTTAAATGGAAATTTTATTCATTAGGGAGAAATCCGAGGAAAGCTTTTTAGGCATAGTTGCTGAAACTATCAACATCATTAACAATAGTAATGGTTTCAACGTTTCCGCTTTGCCATACTTTTGCCTCTTGATTTTGGCTATTTGCATTTTACTTTTTGAAGAAATCCTATAAAGTAAAAGAAAAAGGTAAAAAGCAATACGATAATTGATTTAAAATGAAAAAATAATTAAAATATAACACAATTAGTTTATATACAAGTAAAATCATATACTTTCGGACCCCAAGCTTAATTTGTTCATGCATTTCCCCCACATCCCATGTTCCGGCTTCATTTGTTAAAAAAAAAAATTACATATTTTGCGTATAATCTTTCAAAAATTTTACTTGCTTCTTTATTTACTTTTAAGTATAACGTTGCTGATTTGAGAACTTACCATGAAATAAAGGAAAGGGAAAAGAGAGGAAATTGGTAAAGCTGCAAAAAGTTAAATCCGTCGAAGAGTTACTTATATGAATAAAACAAGAATTGCGAGAGACAAAGGAAAAAGGTTACCGGCAGCAAGGACAACGACCCAGACATAGAATAAATGCTTGAAGGGAACACCGCTGTTGGTCTCCTTAAGCTGCTCAATCTTGCATCCTGGGCAATTCTCAAAATACTTGTTTTTCCCGTCTAGCAATGCCTCTCTGTTGTCGACCATCTTGTTTTTTTCTTTTTTTCTTTTTTCACTGTTGTGATTTCATCGTATTCTCTCAACTCAAACTAAATTTCAATATTTGATTCCGACCTTCTCGGAAGTGGGGTTTTTAACTAGTGATTCTCTCAGACTTCGCCTACTGCCCTTTTTGCTTTTTCTACTTTGGCATATTTTTTCAATTAAAGAGCCGGATGCTGGGCATCATATCCCATTTATGATACGCAACGTTTTCTTTAACTTTTTTAATTTCATTTGGTTCAAATAACAAAAATAATAATAATAATTTTATTACTTTATTTCAATAAAATTTTATATTGTTATTGTAATTAAATAAATTTCATCTTTAATTTATATTCAAATAAATTTTAATTTTAATTTTTATATAACTAAATACTAAAATTTTCATTTGTAATTAAATAAGTTTTGAACATAAATCAATTTTTTATTTGAAATAATAATTTATTCAATAAAATAAAAACTTATTTTGATATAATTAAAGTATAAGTACTTATTTATAGAGTTAATAGTACTCCTAATCCTTAAATTTTAATCCAAATTTTATTTAAGTTTTTAAACCTTAAAAGGTTTTAATAGAATTTTTAATTACTCAAAATTATCATATTATGGTCTTTTCATTTATGAAATCATTTATATATAATGACATCAACTAGCATCTCACATGATAAATAAAGAATCAAAATAAATTTTTTTAAAAATTTAGGAATCAAATATGAAACTATATGTAAAATTTTATAAATTTCATATATATTTTATAAAATATTAAATTTAAAATTATATTTTTATATTTTTTATTGTAAGATAATTTATTAGTTATACTTTTACCTTTAATAGAAAATAGTTTTTAAAAATTAAAATTAAGTTAAAATTTTAAATTCTTTTTTTTAAATTCAATATCATTTTAAAAACAAAAAAATTATTCTCTATTAAAAATATTATTTTAGTCATAAATCATAATAAAAATATTATTTTTATCCACAAAATATATTTTTTAAAATATTAAATATCTTCTATTTTCTTTCTTCAAATATATTTTATAAAAAAAAAACAAGGAAAAGATAAAAATAATTTAAGAAACAATTGATTCTTATACATTTCAAATATATTTTATAAAATATTATAATTTTAAAATATTTTTAATTTTTATTATGATATGATTTATCAATAAATTAATATTTTTAATAGAAAATAGATTTTTAAAAATTAAAATTTTCAAAATAATTTTGTTAAAATTACATATCATTTTAAAAATTTTAGTTAAAATTTTTATATCAATTTAAAAATTAAATAAAAACTCTATGTCAATTTAAAATATTATGTAAAAATTTTCATATAATTTTCAAAAATAGATTTATTAATCTATTCAAAATATAAAAACTTTATATTCATATAAAATAAAAAATATAATTTTAAACATTTTTTATAAAACATATTTTATAAAATATATTTAAAAAGAAAAAATAAAATATATTTAATATTTTAGATAAAAATAATTTTTTAAGTAGAAAATAATATGTTTTATTATGAATTATGAGTAAAATGATATTCTTAATAAAATTTTTTAAAATATATTAAATTTTTAAAAAAAGAATTAGAAAATTTTAACTTAATTTTAAACTTTGTATATTTATTTTCTATTTAAAACAAAATTCGATCTAATAAGTTATATTATATTAAAAAATATGTAAATATAATTTTAAATTTAATATTTTTATAAAAAATGTATGAAATATATAAAATTTTGAGATAGTTTCGTTTTAGTCCCTAAAATTTGAAAAAATTTTATTTTAGTCTCTTATCGGCCACATTAAACGCTAATTAACATCATCATGTAATGCTCGCTAGTATTTGTTATCAATTTAGATGGTTTTATAGACGAAAAAACCAAAAGACAATTTTGGGCAATTAAAGATCTAATTAAAACTTTTTAAAGTTTAAGGATTAAAGTAAAATTTATGTCAAATTTTAGGAATTAAGGATGCTATTAACTCTTATTTAAAAAATAAAATTTTTAAAATTTTTTAATATTTTAATCTTTATATTTCTAACTTTAAATTAAACTTAATTAGATTGTGTGTCCAATAGATAAATACAATTGGAATATTTTTTTAGTAGGATGGCTATTTTAATATTACATAGTTAAATGTATCTTAGGTTTCTAGTTTATTGAAAAAAAAATATTAATTTGTTGGATTAATAAAATTTGGATCTTTTGTATATATAAAATAGTTTTTGATTTTTATATGGATTTGATGTTTTATTATTTTTTTAGATTTTTATTTTTACATACTTTTTAACAAATTTTTTTTGTGAAAAAATAAACTATTATCAAGCATTTATGTTAGTTGTATCAATTTATATCTTTAAAATGGGGTAAAAAGGTGTTAAATCTTATGATTAAATAAAAATAAAACCTAAAAAAGAAAAGAGAAAGGGAAAGAAGAATTTAGCATAAATATTATATTTAAAAAATTCTTTAATTTACAATAATTATTTTTAAAATTTATTAAATACAAAAGTTTATTGATTTATTATTTAAAAATAAAAAAATATTGTACTTTCTATGACAAAACAAAGAAGATTTTACTAGTATAACTTAAAATCATATAAAAATGAGTTAAAATGTATAGTAATAAATTGATTAATATGTTACTTTGTGATATGTTTGAAAAAGTATTAAAGTGGGGTTGATTAAAGTTTTTTAGGCTAGAAAGTGGAGCTAAAAGTTGAGAAGAATGGATTACATACATCTTGTAAACATTAACCCAAGATTAGTGTGATAATCAAGACACTATAAATAAATATAAAAGATTCATCATACTTATTTCAATGGTCATTATCAATACATGGAAGCAAAACTATCACTAGAATGGCTAGATCTTTCTTTTCACTATTCTCTTATTGGCAACACTCAATCAGTAGTAACTATAACTCTTAGAAATGAAAAGGGGATATTAGCCAATTTTATTAAAACTTTAAAAGCTTCCTCATAAATGGCTTACTAGGTTAAAGGTTTACACAATCGTCAAATCACATTGACCTAGTAAGATGTGCAAAGCATATACTTAAGTGATTACATTAAATTATTTAAGCTCTCATACTTGTATCATATTAGGACTAAATCATCAGCCAATTTTATTAAATTATTAAAGTCACCAATTAATAGTAACCTACTTACGAAAAAATTCTAATATTCTCCCACTTGAATAATATTAATTATGTTGTTTGATTTTAAGAAAACTTGATTTAGAAAATAAGACTCCAGATTGATTTGTTTTACTTTGATGTGGCCACAATTTTAAAAATAATTTAACCTTTTAAGACAACATCTTAGTGATTCTATCTAATAAAACCATTTAATATCAAATCTTGACAACTTTTATGCCTTTTATTGACATAAGACCAATCAACAGTTATAAGTACTAGTGACTTTATCAACAATAGATCTTAGTGTGGTTGTGTAGTAACAAAATAACACCTAAATGTGATCTCAATATGTTATTTTCATTGTCAATTCTCTTGCCAATTTTTTTAAACTTGTTGAGAAATCTCCACGACATCTAGATGAGCCTATATATCTCTTTAATATCTTAGAGGTTCCTTAATGGTATCATATATAAAGCATACTTAGGTGACAAAATAGTCATACTTAAGACAAACACTAAGTTTTATGATTTCACAATGCATATAAAGTTTTATGATTTCACAATGCATATAACAAATATTAATTTTCCATGTGTACATATACTAACAAAATAAAATACTAACATAAAATATAAAAAATCAACAGATGATGATCGTCATTCAAACATGGAATCAAATATCACATAAATATACCAAGCATAAAAAGAAAGGGTCCAACATAAAGGCAAATCATGATGTGTGAGTATAAAATAGAAATGATATACACTAATGAATTACAACAAAAGAACCTAAAATACCCATGTTCTCAACATGTTTACCAAACATTATAGGCTCTAATTTCGTAGTCAAAAGATTAGCAATCATATTGTTAGTCTCAATATGTTCAACAACAATCTCACTATTTTTCATAAAATCCTTAACTTTAAGATATTTTATCTCCAAATGTTTAAAATCAATAGTGCTATTATTGTTCTTAAAAAATAACACAATAGACCTATTATCATAATAAATCTTCAATGGTCTAGAGATGGAATCAACAATACGAAAGCCTGAAATAAAATTCTTAAGCCAAATTGCTTGCGTAGCAACTTCATTGCATGCAACAAACTCAACCTATTTGATGGAAAAAGCAAAGAGTGTTTATTTCGCACTTTTCCAAGACAAAGCTCTTTTAAACAGCATAAAAATATACCTTAAAGTAGACTTCATGTCATCTTGACAACCAATGAAGTCGAAATCTATATACTTTACTATCTCTATGGGTGAGAAAAAAAAAAAAAAAACTGAAAATCGATTCAAAATAGTAATGCTTGATTCGATTCATATCAATTTTTTTCTTATTCTGTTTGGATTAAGTTCAGATATCAAATGTATATATTAGATTTGTATTGAATTTTAGATAAAAAAATCTAAAATCAAAAAAATCAAAATTATATATTTTTATTAGCTTTTATTAATTTAAATTTTTATAAAATAAAAATAATTATTTTCTACCTAAATATATTTAAAATATATTAAAACTTATATTAAAATAATATAAAAAAATTTAAATTTAGAAAATTGACAAATTAAATCGAATCAAATGGGTAAATTTCAATTCAGGTTGGATTGGATTGCATGGAAGTTTAGTTTGGATTCGGATCGAATTTTAAAAATTCATAATTTTTTGCATTATTCAAAAAACCAAACCAAACTAAACCAAATCAAATCATATTTGATCCGATCCATAATCACCCCTAACTATCTTAAGATTGTCCACCTTTTTGCATACCAATATATGGTATTTGGTATTTTACAAGTACATCATCACTTTCTTATCAGCAATCAAATGATCCATACTAGGATTAGAAAAATATCTCTCAAGAACTCCCACTGCCAAAGTAGTATATGGCATAGTGCAAATCTAAACGTACATAAGATTCCCAATTGCAATAGAATATGGTATATTCTTAATGGATTTGTTCTCCAAATCATTCTTTGGGCACTAACTAAAATTAAGTCTATCACTTTTCATAATGAGTGCATCCCTAGCCTCATAGTTT